GATGTAAACACTAGTTGCCGATATGGTGTTTCGATCCAAATTGTTCCAGATATTAAACATTCTATTTAATAAAAAGTTCATCCTGGAGCTTGCACTAGTTTGTTCTCTTTTAATTTATATCGATGGCCTCCTAATCTTTATTTTGATTTAAAGTGAATATAGTGTTTAGGTTCCCAAATTTATGTTTTAAAGTACAGAAGGACATAATGAGGTCACCTTAAAGACGTCGCTGCTTGAATATCGTAAAATGAGCCATAGATAGTCTATCTTCATAGTTATGTCTTACAAAGTATGCAGGTCTTATGGTTTACGCTCAACATTTTCAAGTAGGATTTTATCGCGAGTAAGCTCTTAATTCCACACTGGCTCGGCAAGAGAGGTCAGAAATATATGTCTAAAACATTTACGGATCAAAAACAGTTTCGAGTTTTTTTTTACATTTGCACACCGAACTATGTGATCAGACCAAATTAACTCACTATTAATTATCACTCCGAGATCGTTGTAGAAGGTTACCGAGTTTAAGATGTATTATGTCCATTAATAAAGTACGTTAGTGATGGGTTATTTTCGCCGATATGTAAAAGAACACATTTTTTAATTTTAAGCGAAAGTAACCATTCTGAGGACCATTTGAATATTGCATCATATTTGCTAGTAAGTTTTTATTATTTTGTACTATTAAAATTTTCAATCATTAGGTCATTAAACTGACTCCAAAAGACAGAAGATAATGACAAGACAACCTTTATATAGTATCCAAAACAATTTTGCTTCATTACAATTAAACAATATAGGTAAATAGTTTTCCAAAGCAAATCACACCCGAACGTAAAACTGAATTTGTTTTCATAAAGCTATTAAATATCACGCGATTCGATTATATTTACAATTACAATAACCTCAATAATCTCAGATATTGCAACTCAGGTTGGCGCATTACGTAGCCGGTTGCAATAAAATTTGAAAGGAAATCGAACCGAGCTAGCAGTTTCCAAATGTTGCAGCCGTAAAATGCAGTAATCGAATCTTCTTTTCCAATAACTCTATTTTGCTTGGCTACGTTCTGTACTCGGTTTGAACGACATTGAAAACATTCGTTTAAGGACAATCGATAGGGTTAGTGGTATAATGTACTTTAAACTGCATTTGTAAGAAGAATTAAAAACGAGCACTTGAAACGCTTCTTAAAACAAATGGAGTACTATTTTTATGATTTAAAAAAGAAGTGTGGCGTTTTTAAAGCGATTAAAGAGCAGAAATGAAGGAATTAATAGAACTGAAGCACATGAGTGCACGGACTGACTATAGTCGGTTCGCTATATTTACGCGGGTTTTGGATTAACAAAATTATGCTACTGACTCATTGATAACCAGTTGCAGTAAATTAGGTAAAAACTGCATTAATGGTCATATTTTAAAATACATTAAAATAACATTAGGTTAGGTATAAATTTGTTACAATATTGCAGTTGAATTGATTCTTTGCCAGTGTTGACATTGTATGTTTGGTGGAAATATTTAAAAATGCCTAGTCGTGTGTTAGATGTCAATAGTCTAATTTGTAGTGTACATAAGTATTTTACGGATGAAAAAGAAAATGGCGGTCCTTTAAAATCGATAATGTCTGTTCAACAACGTGTATGTGATGCTATAGGAATTAGTGAAATCAAACTAAGAGGAGTATAACAAAGTCGCAATAATGAACGGCCGAAAGAAGATCACCGAAAAACTCGCCTATCATTAAAAATGAAAGATATTCCAGATGGAAAAAAATTTGAAATTCGTGATACCATTTATCGAATGCGAGCCAACAAAGAACATGTGACCTTAAATACAATTCTCTCGAAATTAAAAGATAGAAAAATTGACGAAATTGGCAAAACAAGTCTATGGCAAATAGTGACAAATAATTTGGGTTTCAAGTTTTAAAAGGAGGATAACAGAAAATCTCTTTGTGAAAGAAGTTCTGTTGTACATAAAAGAATTAACTTTCTAAGAAAATATTCTAAATTAAAAGAAGAAAGGGCAAATTTTATATATTTAGACGAAACATGGATATTTTCTAGGGGTGCAACCAAGAGAATACGGCAAGATGATAACGTAAAGTCTATCAAACATACTGATGGAGAAGGGAAGCGACACATAATTTTACATGCAGGAGGGAAATCGTGTTTTATAGAAGGTTCTGATTTAATATTTTCATCTAAATCAAAATCAAGTGACTATCACGATAATATGAACACAGAAATGTTTGTAAAATGGTTACATGAAAACTCTTTTTATTTTCGCTTGGGGATTTCACTCTAGCCCTTTGACTACCAGTCCCAGTATGTGGTTATGGTTATGCCCTATGTGCCACTTATAAATTAACAATTTGTTACAAAAAAATTGCGGTAATTATGTTGTTTAAGGTCATTGTTTTACAAATTTTTGATATACAACAAAAAAATATATAAGAAAAAACAAACGCGGAAGCCGCGTTGCCGGCACTGGAGAAGTAAGTGTAAGTCCTAGTATGCCGCCAACGTGGTATCCGCGTTCATTTATTTTTACATTTATGTACATATATATTTAAAACAAATGATCATATTTAATGATAATTATAAAAAAACAGTTTTCATGGTATTGTCTAAAACACGGTGTCAAGCACAAACCTGGTTCGTTTGGACACTGAGAGCCAAAACATGTGGAATCTTTTCTGATATTTCTCGTTTGCCAACAGTACTTACAACGTCGCCGTTTAACATTTCCCTTATTATCTTTGGGACAGTATTGTGGTAAATGATTGACACAGTCCTTTCTCTCTTGCTTTGGTTGTGGTGACCCTAATAAGCTGTCAATAGTTGCCATTCTAAAATCGTATAAATTCATTTTTGGTTTTTCATATTTATTATAAAAAAATGCGAGTTCACCAGCATCATTTGAAATAGATGTATACCTAACTTTGTGTACTATGTACTATGTATCTCAAAACTTTATGTTTGCAAGAATAATACTGAAGCACCTGGTCGCAGTGGTCCACACCTCCCATGAACTTATTATATTCTGCAACAAGTTTTGGTTTCGATTTATCTATACCTCTTTTTGATGTTGTCTGAATCATTTCGCCGCTGAATTCTGTTGAAATGGTCAATACTTCAGTACGATCTTTCAATTTGCACACGCAAGTGCCTTCTGCACATTCAGAATAACATTTGCGTTTCTTTAATTTTTTTGTAAGCATAGTTTCTGGATTCATAGAGTACCTGTAGTGTACAATATGTTTTTTCTGGCAACAATTTCGTAGACAGTTCAAGGCTGTTGTAAAAATTGTCCATAAACAATGCATGCCCTACGCCGGTCTTACCCTCCATCAACTTTTGGACAACTTTTACTGTATGTTTCGCTCCTCCCACATCTGGATCTGCTGAACCTACATATACTAATATTTTCTGTGCCATTCCGGTTGGCTCCGCTAGCACATACAGTTTTATCCCGTATTTGTGCCGTTTCTGTTTGTTATACTGTTGGAATAAAAGTCGACCTTTCCATAGTACCATAGACTCGTCCTAAGCGAGTTCCCGACTTGGGTAAAAAATTTCTTCCATTCTTGAGTTGAAATAATTTACCAGTGGAAGGATTTTTCCCAATCTGTTCTGTGCATCTATTTCATTGGTAGCAAAATGCAGAGCTCGTAATATTAACAGAAATCGATTTCGACTCATAAAAGTAGAAAATACTGGAATACACAGCTATTACAGGTGTACACAACGATCAAAGCCTTTGATGCAAAGGCATATTCATTTGTCTTTAAATTAATGTCAAAACAAGTAGCTTGTGTCAAATAGTTTGGACCTAATATGTCATTTAAATAAGTGTGTGCTATAATAATGTAATAATGGAAGACAGTCAAAAATAATATATAAATCACGCATATAAAATCAGTTTTAGAATAATATTCTTCTTCTGATGATGATTCTGGCGGTGTATTAGTCTTTATTTTCCTTGATTTTCCCCTTCCTTTGTTTTGAGTATATTTCCAGTAGATGATTCAAGTACTTTTTTTGTTTGTCTATTTTTCAATAGTTTCTCTTGCTCCTTGTACTTCTTTCTATCAGCTTTTTTTTTTTTCAGAACTATCTGTGTAGATAGCAGTCCTCTGTTGTTTCCTAGTTTTCTAGATGAAGCTTTAGGGTAAGGCCGCATAGTCTAAAGCGAGAATACATACTGCTTGCTTGTAGAAGGTTTTGATGGCTGACTTAAAACAGCATCACGAGGAGAGATGTCTGATTTTGGATTCATTGTACCAGCTTGCAATTCTTGGCTAGCTTCTAGAGGTGTTTGTTTAGGTGGTGTTTTTGTTGCTTGGAGCTCGGCGATTTCAGGTCGTGTGAGCATATAATGGTGAATGAATGTTTCGGTTTTAGGATTGGCTAGACGTAGGTATGTTTGAGTCACTGTTAGTAAATATCTGCAATGCAGCGTGTTTAGTTAATGCTCTATTTTCAGGCTCAGTTGGGCTTACTGCGCTTAATGAAGGTTTATCCTTATTTAATAACGAAGATGATAGTGATGGGGATTTGTCATCAGGTGTAAGTCTTATGTTATGTTGATTAGAAATGCCTATCTCTTCAGTAGCATCATTTGAATTAGGCCTGTCTGTTGCGAACGATGGCAAAACATGAATTTCTTGGAACAAATTACGGTTTAATTCCCCTGTCTTTCGAAAGTTGGCATTAATATTCACCTGAGTGGGAGCAGGTGGCATTGCGATAGTTATAGTAATATTAAAAAATGCAACACTATTGTGTCTTGCTGTCCTAGGATGCAAATTGTATTCAGTGGGCCGCATGACATATAATGAGTTTCTCAGAAAATAACTAAAAAAATTATAGAATATACCTTTTTTTGAAATAATATGTAATTATTAAACTAAAATTACTATGTAAATTTAAAATAGTAACTGATTAACAGGCGGCATTGACCGTCTATGACCTCCCAAAAATAAAAATATAAACTATTTTACATAAAAAATATTTGAATTTATTTAGTTAAACAATACAAAAGGTGGTTGCATGTATAATTCCATTATCTCGTTAACGGCTTTGTATTGTCTTGGATTTTTTTGCATACTCAAAGTTGCGTTAATATTTAGAAACCTTAACGTCTTTGGTTCGGATGATTCCCAGATGACGTTATCCAAAAATGGATCGGGTTCTGGTGTTGGGTTGCTAAAAAATAAAATATTTTAAATTTATGTTTCCATGATATAAAATCCTATTATTCTCCTTATCCTTACGCGGAGTTGGCGTCCCAAGCTTTTATTTTGAGTCACACTAATATCTATCTTCTTGTAGCATTTTTTTGTTCCATTCTTTGTAAAGTTTAAATTCACGTAAAACAAGTATTCAAAAGAGAGTTTTTTTAAAGAGAGGAGAAGGTACAAATATGGGCTATGCTACTAATATGAACTATCGCAATTAATATGAAATACACTCCACTATCTATACGTCAATAGCTTGACTAGACACTCTATAGTTAAAAATAATAACTGATAAAGCTTACAGTGACCGTTGAAACAATCACATGTTAGTGTTGACGAATACAGATAGCATGAAATCTGTTATTTGAGCTGTGAGAGATAAAACGAACTTATAATGTCCCGAGATCGACAGTACAACGGTTAGCAAAAATGACTGAACTGAGTCCAGATGAAGAAACCGGGAATATGAACTATTCTTGGTCCAGATTTAGAAAAACTTTTGGTGGACTATATCCTTCAAATGAAAGCGAAATTCTATGGTTTAACGCAGACTGGTATCACACGAATGGCTAAATCAAATGGATTAAATTATCCCTTTATGCAGTTAAAAAAAGCTGGTAGAGGTTGACTAGATCTGTTCTTGGCGCGTCATAAAAATATATTAGCTTTTCAAAGAGAATGTTCAAATATCTGTTCCAGGTCATCTGAAAAAAGCATACAGAGTGGCCCAAAAGTCTGGAAACGGCTAATTATCTCGTAAAATGCTAATCATAATTGTACAAAATTTGAGATACACCTATTTTGGGATACGGAGATTCCATATTTGATATTTACAATGTTGCCAGATTTGCCGTTTTTCTTACATTATTAGTAACTTTGGTTTTTCAAATACATCGCCCTGTATATTCAGTCATTATTGAAATCTCCTATTCAATACGAGTTCAACCATATGTAACACTTATGATTTTATGTAATCTGAAAGGTCATAAATACATAAATACTAACTATTTTCAAATACATTAAAACGTAACAATTGATAGTTTAGTACATTTTTTAACACAGTAGTTACGTTATTAAGTGTTCAAAATATGCTCCATTTGTGAGTTGACAGCACTCTAATCGATACTAGAATGCGTCTACCACATTTCTCCATGATTGTCTAGAAATTATTCGAGATTCATCGATAATTCATTGCCTTAACTATGCAAGACTTGCTGGTTAAGTTTTGTAAACTGAATTTTTCAAGTATCCCTAATAAAAATAATCTTTAGGATTGAAATCGGGTGAACGTGGAGGCCATTCAATTCTACCTTGTCTACCAATTTATCGTCCAGGAAATATTTTATTTACATATCGCTGAACATTTACACCAACTATCTGACGTTAAATTTCTTTCGACAAAAAATGACCCAATTGAATAAGTAACTACTATATCTGACCATACATTAAATTTTTGTGGTCTTTGAGTATGGTTTTCACGCATACAGTCTTCAGTGTAAATTTACGTCACACCAGTAACTTAAATTGTGTCGATTTACACTTCCACACAGTGTAAAAGTTGCTTCATCGGAAAAACATATTCTGTTAACGAAATTTTAATAATTTTCAATTTTATCCATCATTACGTCAGTAAACTCTAATCTACGACCAAAGTCATCTTCACTTAATTCTTGCAATAAGTTAATTAATTTTGTATGATTTAAATTTATTTTTACGTAATAGACGTAAGACTGAAGAATGACCTACATCATGTACTTGTGCAACCCTGCCTGGCGATGTATGTGGATCTTCAACAAAACTTTGCTTATATCTGAAGTTTTGTTGTCATTTATAACTCGTTTCGGTCAACCTGATCGGTATCTATCTTTTACTTCTTCAGATTTCTCAAATCGCCTTACAGTTTTTTGTACCGTCGTCTTATGAATAGGAGAATGGTTTAGAGAACGGCATTTTAGAGAAGCAATTTAAATTTCAGAACTTTTTGAACCACAACTACTGTCAATTTTAGTTCATAATTTAAACAGTAAACACATATCGAAATCACAGCATTCTCGAGATATGAGATATTATATATATATATATATATATATATATATATATATATATATATATATATATATATAAGCGAGGTTCCTACAGCCTCTGCCGTTTCTCGCATTTCGACCGCCATCGTTTTCTGTCCATCCATTCGTCTTCTCTGATGGCTCTATCTCTCATTATGTGCCGTACATTTTCTTCCCAGGCAACTGAAGGCCTTCCCCTTCTTCTTTTTTGTTGTGGTATGTAATTTAAAGCTTTCTTTGGCAATCTATCTTCATTCATTCGTTTCACGTGACCATACCACACTAGTTGTCTCGTTTCAATTCTATCTACACTGGAATATACAGTATTTGTCCTCCTTCTAATATCTTCATTCCTGATGTGATCTTTTTTGGATATACCACACGCTCTCCTTAGAAAATCCATTTCTACTACTTTCATTCTTTTTCTATCCTTCTGCGTTATCTGCCAAACCTCTGCCCCATAAGTCATAATAGGCTCTACCAAGGTTCGATAGATTGTCAATTTCGTTTCTTGTCTAATATCTTTAGACCAAAGTAGAGAGTTTAGAATGTTTACCACTTTTTTTCCCTGCTGTGTTCTGTTTTCGATGTCTCTTTTGGTAGTGCCTTCTTTAGATATTATAGATCCGAGATATTTATATTCATTGCATGTTTTTGTGTTTCTAATTTCTAACTCTGGATCTTCTTCACCATCTCCTATTTTAAGATACTCTGTCTTTGCCATATTCATATTGAGGCCCCATTTTTCATATTCTTTTTTTATTTTTCTAAACATGTAGTCCATGTCTTCCTCGTCATTCGCTACGACTACCTGATCATCTGCGAAGAATAAAGCTGTTAGACATTCACCACCGCCTATGTCTATTCCCATTCCGGATACTTGTTTTCTCCACTGCTCTAGCGATGATTGAATATATATTTTAAACAGGGTCGGAGACAGACAACATCCTTGTTTAAGCCCCTTGGTTATTGGAAATGATTCAGATATAAAGTTTCCTTCTTTAACGACACTTCTTGCATTTTTGTATATATTTGCGATAGCATCCACATACTCTCTACTGAGACCTACTTTCGTCAATGTATAAAATAGTTTTTTCAAAGGTACCGTATCATATGCCTTCTCTAAATCTACAAACAATAGGTGGGTAGATAGATTCCTTGCCTTCCGTTTTTCGATTACCTGCTGCAGAACGAATATATTATCAATGCACGATCTTCCTGCCCTAAATCCATTTTGTTCCTCTATGTCTTCATATTCTGATTCAATTCGTTTTTTATTATTCGACCGTACAACCTCCCAACTAGGATATGAGATATTTCCCGGACGATAAATTGGTAGGTAAGGTAGAATTGAATGGCCTCCACGTTCATCCGATCTCAATCCTAAAGACTATTTTTATTAGACATACTTGAAAAATTCAGTTTACAAAACTTAACCAGCAAGTCTTGCATAGTTAAGGCAATGAATTATCGATGAATCTCGAATAATTTCTAGACAATCATGGAGAAATGTGGTAGACGCATTCTACCATCGATTAGAGTGCTGTCAACTCACAAATGGAGCACATTTTGAACACTTAATAACGTAACTATTATGTTAAAAAATATTCTAAACTATCAATTGTTACATTTTAATGTATTTGAAAATAGTTAGTATTAAAAAATGTAATGAAACAATTTAGACATTGCCAGACTTCTGTTTTATGTATTTAAGACCTTTCAGACTACATAAAATCATATTTGTTATATATGGTTGAACTCGTATTTAATAGGAGATTCCAATAATGACTGAATATACAGAGTAATGCATTTGAAAAACCAAAGTTACAATTAATATAAGAGAAACGGCAAATGTGGCAACATTGTAAATATCAAATATGGAATCTCCGTATTCCAAAATAGGCGTATTTCAAATTTTGTATAATTATGTCTAGTAATTTAGCCGTTTCCAGACTTTTGGGCCACTCTGTATATCTAAAAAGATAAATACAATTTTTCCAGTAATTAGTTTTACAACGTAGATGAAACAGACCTAAACATTGTGCAAAATAAAATTGCAGCAATAGTGGGACACAAAGGAAAGAGACAAATCTCATCGCTGACTTCGGCTGAAAGAGGTTCATTGATCACTTTCATCATAACTGCATGTATGAGAGCTGGAGGGAATTTTATTTCACCCATGTTAATCTTCCCAAGAAAGAAAATGTATGTTTAACTAATGAAAGATACTCCTCCTGGATCAATATCAGCCGTTCATCATGGTTAAAAGATATAGACATAGATACCGTCAAACCCTCTAAAGAGGTAACTGTACTTCTTATATTGGATGGACACTACAGCCAAACTCGCAATTTAGATGTGATCGATCTGGCAAGGGAGAATAACATAGTTATAATTTCATTACCTTCACATTAAACACACAAACTGGGATCTCTCAAGTCATACTATAGCGAAGAAATCAGGCAATGGTTACGTCATAATAACCGCGATCTTTCTCAGTACAATATTGAAGAACTTTTTGAGACTGTGATCTCAGATGTAGATTTTATTGCAGCAGAAATTGAGAGTAACAAACACAGCCATGCAGAACCGCTATCTAGTTATTGAACCTGCTGTCCTACGAAAGACACCAAAAGCAAGCAACATCAGTGAATCAGGTCCTCCTGGTTTGCAGAAGTTTGTAAGTCCATTTGAAATATCGCCAGTGCCGTCGATCAGAAAAAAATCTACAAATCGTGGTAGAAAATTATCCAAATAAACGGTAATAACTTTTTTACCTTACATGGAAGCGTTAGACCAGTAAAACAGCAAAAATAAATTAAATGTACGTGCAGTAAATCGACACATTACGGCTGAGTACACAAGGGAGGTAATTAAGAAAAAAATTAAAAACAAGTCAGAGAAGCGGCATAAAAAGGAAACCGAAAGTTCTTCTGACAACGATAGTGAGCAGGAATTTCAAGAGGCTGATGAAGGTATGGATTTGAAAGAGATTTCTGGTGTAACGGATCCGGAAAATATGGATGTAAATTATATTTTATGTGAAGGAAAATCCAGGAAAATGAAGGAAAATTATGTTAGGATTATCGAGGTAAAAATGGATTCAGTGCGTTAAGTGCAACTTGTGAGCACATATAGCTTGTTCTGGTGCAAATAGAGACGAATATGTGTGAATATTGTACATAAACAATTATAAAATAAATATAAAAATATTTTTACTACCAACCCATATTTGTATCACTTTTCCGTTTCTTACTTACATGACACCGTGAGTGTTTTTATGACATTACAGAAAAAAATATCTTACTAGGCAGAAAACGGACTAGCTCAAAAAAGCAAAACAATTATACATGCCAATTATGTAATTTGAACATCTTCGATCAAAAATAGTCAAGATATTAGCAATAAACAAAATGGTAGCCCAGATTTGAAACTTCTCCTCTATTCGAATAACATGTCTAGCAACTATTTCCTTTGTTATATTCGTAACCATTGCTGTTACTGCCTTCGGTAGTTTAACTGTCAAATTATTTACATAATATACTATCAAAGGATTTTTTTATTCCTTTTGTAAATCATTTTAATGATCAAGTTCTTTATTATTTTTGCTTAGTATACATCTATTCATAACATAGCATTCAATAACATGGCCAAACTCTTTAAAAGCCACAATCTTAATCTGGAGATAAAAGTAAGGCTCCTAAGATGTTATATCTTCTCAATATTGTATTACGAAGTTGAATCCTGGACACTAACTGAAGCAATGGAGAAAAAACTTGAAGCCTTCGAGATGTGGCTATACAGGCGAATTCTAAGGATATTATGGACAGACAAGATAACCAACGAGACCGTATTACGAAGAGTGGGCAAAGAAAGAGAGGTGATGTATACCATTAAAAGGAGAAAGTTGGAATATCTCGGACATATAATGAGAAACAGCACTAAATACAGATTACTGAAGGTAATCCTACAGGGTAGAGTATTCAGAAAGCGAGGAATTGGGGAAGGAGAATATCATGGTTAAAGAACCTGAGGAAATGGTTCTCCACAACAACAACGAATCTATTTAAAGCATCAGTTAATAAAATAATTATAGCCAGAATGATTGCCAATATTCGTAACGAATAGGCACTGAAAGAAGAAGATACATCTATTCCAATTGGTTTTTTCTTAAAGTCACTTTTTCCAGAATTATATGTCAGAGTACAAGTTTATTCAAAAATCCAGGAAAGCAGTACTTAGTTTTTATTTCTACAATATAAAATAGATCATACTTACTAAAATTTGACAAAATTAGTCCACAGTTTAACATACTTGTGAAGAACAAGCTGATCTGATTCTGGAAATTTACTAAGATCAGTGTTACTTGCATCTTCCCACATATAGTGAGTATCTTCAACATGGGCAACTGTTTCTACATCTAAACAATAAAAAAAGAATTAAAAAAATTTGTTTTTGTCTGTAAATTTTCACTCGAATTTAATATCTATGTTCTACTTTAGTTTATTGATGGGATTTATTGAGATTTTTTAAGTTAAACGATAAGTTGATGATTCTAATTTTTACAACTCAAGTTTTCAATACCTGAATTTAATTCAATTTAAGTTTTTACCTGGTGGTAAAAATGGTAAGAGCCACATTTCTCCGCCTAATTCTCCCTTGTAAGCAAATTGATAAAAATAATTTGGCACATTGGGAGACGTTAATTCAACTTGTTTACATATTCCATTCACAAATAACTGGTCACTAGTATGCTAAAAAAGACATTATCTACATTTTTATTATTCACTTTGATATACAGAATTTTTAGTTAAATATATATAGAGGTGTCTCTCTATAATTGATGCTACAACCAAAATTTTTTTTTATTTAAAAAGTTATCATTGTAGCACCAATCATGGCCAATTAAATATAGAATAAGAAGCCATTTAGTTTTTTTTTTCGGATGATTAATTTCCTAGAAATAATGACACCCACCAAAAAATTGGATGTTGAGGGCAGCTATTTTCAGAACCTCTATTAAAAAAAACATTTTTCAAGTAGTTTAAGGTATGTACTTTTAATAGTAATAAGTTTGATTTTAAAATATCTTTTGTACTTTAAATAAACTTAATTACTATTTAACTATGAATAAGCCACAATTAAAGATAAAAATACGTTTATTGACGTTTCAATTTCCACTTCGGAAATCGTTCTTAAAATACAAACAGCAAATTAAACAGATTTTGTTTTTTGTTACATAGTGAAAAATTCTTCTAATAATTTAATTGTATCTGACTCATTTATATTGACAATTCAGACATACATTATGCATTTTAAAGTAGACGACTTTAAAATGATATTGCCAATATTGTTGAGTTGCGCTCCTGGGACGACTTTACTTATAAGATAGTTCATTCGATTACATGAAATCAACATTAACTTGAGAATATCCGTCAGAAAAAATCATAGCATGTAATTCGTCTTTAAAAAGACAAACACATGACATGATGACAGTAAAATTCTCCTGTTAGTGATTCCATAGTAAATTATGAGGGAAAAACCAGGAAAAAAACCTCATAATACTATCCCGACATTGTAAGTATTTGTTCGTGAATTTATATAATTCTATAAACAAAATTTTGGTCTAGCAATGGGCTCTAGTTTATCTCCATTCTTAGCCGATATATTTATGGAAGATTTTGAAACAAATATCATTTATAAACAAAATTTCAAACCCATAGTATGGTGGAGGTATGTAGATGATGTATTCTCAATATGGCCTCATGGATCAGAGTTGGACATATTCCTAAATGATATAAACGATAAAGAAGAGACAATAACATTTACCATGGAAAAGGAATATAATCACACGCTACCTTTCCTGTATGTTTTAATTTCTAAGAACGATACTGGATATGAGACTCAGGTGTATAGAAAACCAACACACACCAATAGATAATTAAATTTCAAATGAAATCACAATATTAATGTAAAAAAGGGAATAATTAAATCCTTATACGATAGAGCCAAAATTACTTGTTCTAACGAAAATTCTTTCTTGGAGCAGAAACATTTGTTAACATCTGTTTTATTAAAAAATGATTATCCTTTATCGTTTATAAATAAGGAATTTTCAACAATCGATCGAATAGAACAGAACAACTTAGAACGAGATCCTACAGCATACACAAGGAATAATATGAGGAAAATAACAATACCGTACATAAAAGGATTATCAGAAAAACTTAAAAGGATAGGAAATAAATTCAACATTTCAACAACATTCAAAACAACAAACACGTTGAGATGTATTTTGTCCAAAACCAAACCTAACAATGAACAAGAAAGGACAAAGAATTGCATTTATAAAATACCTTGTGAATGCGATAAGTTTTATTTAGGTGAATCATTAAGGCCATTAAATGTTAGAATAAGTGAACATCAATCTTATATTAAAAATAGAGAATTTGATAGATCTCAAATATGTAAACACGCATGGGATAATGAACATAGAGAAAGTTATTAATAAGAAAATACCAGTATTACTAAGTCAGTAACATATAGAGGATACATCATTTATGTTTTTTAACTAACGTAACATATAAAATCAGAATTTTGATGTTTGTTGAAGGTAAACTAAATTCACAAACAAATACTTACAATGTCGGGATAGTAATATGAGGTTTTTTTCCTGGTTTTTCACTCATAATTTACTATGGAATCACTAACAGCAGAATTTTACTGTCATCATGTCATGTGTTTGTCTTTTTAAAGACGAATTACATGCTATGATTTTTTCTGACGGATACTCTCAAGTTAAAGTTGATTTCATGTAATCGAATGACCTATCTTATAAGTAAAGTCGTCCCAGGAGCGCAACTCAACAATATTGGCAATATCATTTTAAAGTCGTCTACTTTAAAATGCATAATGTATGTCTGAATTGTCAATATAAATGAGTCAGATAAAATTAAATTATTAGAAGAATTTTTCACTATGTAACAAAAAACAAAATCTGTTTAATTTACTGTTTGTATTTTGAGAACGATTTCCGAAGTGGAAATTGAAACGTCAATAAACGTATTTTTATCTTTAATTGTGGCTTATTTTCAGTTAAATAGTAATTAATTTACAATGCCACAAGAAAATAGCTTCAGAACAATATTAAATAAACTTTATTTACAAAAACACAGTTTTTTGAGGAACCTGGCCTTCATAGCAATAAAAATAATGAAAAACATTCAAATAGAAAATTGGCAATACCTGGAACTATATTGGAAAGATCCATCATTCAAGAAAAGCATAGTAAGGAAGATAATCTTATGATTGTGTAACTTGAGAGAATGATACAAATTCACGATAATTAAACTATTCAAAAGTCCATCTTAGAGTCTAATACTCATGATAATTATCAACATGGATGAATACTTCATACTAACCTGCATGTTACGCAAAAAAACTCTCTCTTTGTCAACCATTTTCAATCCACTTGAATGTAGGTCTCTCTCAATTACTTCCATCTTTCTCTATCTTGTGCCAATCTAATCCACTGATTGCCTGCCACTGCTCTTATGTCGTCTACCCATCTTTTTTGAGGTCTTTCCATGCTTCTTGTTGTCGTCCTTGGTCACCATGCTAGAATTATCCGTGTCCACCTGTTGTCATTATATCAGGTTACGTGACCGGCCTAGCGCCATTTCATTTTTGTAATTTCTTCCACAATATCCCTAATCCTTGTTCTAAGTCTTATCACGGTGTTTCTAATCTTGTCTCTCAGTGATATTTCAAGCATGATTCGTTTCATTGCTCTTTGCATTGTTTCTAATTTTTTAACAGATTTTTTGGATGTGTTATACATCTTTTTCTTTAAGTTTACAGGAATGGAGGTGTTTTTCAAGATATATGCTAGTTTGCCAAAAGTGCCTTATGCCAGTTGTGTTCTTCTTTTAATTTCAGCATCTTGATGTTACATAGTTCTGGGCTATATTATATGCTATTAAACCTATGTCATCTGGAAATCTCAAGTAGTTTAAGTATGATCCGTTGACGTTAATACCCTTGTTGTTCCATTCTAGTTTCTTAAAAATGTCTTCTAGAGTAAGTGTAAATAGTTTGGGAGCAATGGTGTCTCCTTGTCTTACTTTCCGTTGTAGTCTTATGGGATTAGGTTTTATGCTTTCGTCCAGCTTTATCTTAAACAGTACAATGACTTCGGAGGTGTACCATTCTTGAGGAATTTTTCCTTTATCAATTACTTCATTAAATAAAATATATAATACCTGTTTCATTTTTCTGCCACCAATTTTCAACATTTCAACAGTAATTTTATCCTCTCCCGGACATTTATTCGTTTTTAGTTGACTTAGGGCCATTCTGATTTCATAGTTGGTTATGTCAGGTATTTCTTTTGAGCCGGTGTTAATTATTGTTCATTCAGAACGTCGTTGTTGTGATTGTGTATTTCATCGTCATCATCATCATCATCATCATCATCACAGTCATCAACATCTTAGTAGATGTGTTGTGGTTCATAATTGGGCTTCAGCACCTCGGACAGTTTGATTGATAATATTTCTCCACTGGTCGCGGTCATCAGTTATATGTATTACCTCAGTGTACTGTTTATTGAGAAGCTTTTTAGTAATGTCCGCCCATCGCTGTGGAGATCTTCCGCGTTGGCGTTGAGTCTGAGGCCTTCCTTGGACCACCAACCGCTCCATTTTGTGATCACTTCGATGGATATGGCCAAAGAACTTTAAAATTCTAGAGTAAACGGTACTGGAGAGACGTTGATCCGGTTTAATTTCATCCAGAACCGAGATATTTGTACGGCGAGCCGTCCATGGAATTCGAAGCAGGCGTCTCCATGTCAACATTTCAAAGGCGTCTATACGTCGTCGATTTGATTCTTTGACTGTCCATGTCTCGCATGCATAGTAAAATACGGAAAAGACCAGAGTTGAAACGAGTCTCTTTTGGTTTGTCATAGTAATGTGACGATCACGCCAGACCCCGTTTAGTTCACTCATTGCTGCTCTTGCTAGTTGAATGCGTATTCTAATTTCGGATTCACAACTGCCTGTGTTGTTAACTAGAGCTACAAGATATATCATAGATGAGACTACCGCGCATCCCGCAATAGTTTGGGTTTCAGGAAACTGTTGTTGGCGATCAATAACCATGATTTTGGTTTTGTTGTAGTTAACCATGAGTCCAAATTTAGCACTTTCTACCTCGAGTTTTTTTAATAATCTAGTAATTTCTTCTGGAGTAGAGGCTAGAAGTGTAGTGTCGTCTGCGAAACGCAAGTTAGATATCTTAACACCACCTAGGTTTACTCCTCCCTCCCAACCATCCAAAACTCTGCGCATTATGAACTCCGAATGTATGTTAAAACGCATCCTTGGCGTACTCCCTTCTCCAAAGTGCATTTGTCAGACAGATATCCGTCCATTCGAATATATGCCAGGTTATCTTGATACAGTTTGCTAATAAGGTGAGTCAAGTGTTTAGGTACACCCATTGTCGTCAATAGGTTCCATAGTTTGTCCCATCTAACATTATCAAAGGCCTTTGTATAATCGACGAAACATATAAATATCGGGATCTGGTATTCTCTGGCTTTTTCTATGATGTTTCGTACATTAAGGATTTGTTCTCTAGTACCTCTGCCCTTTACAAATCCAGCCTGCTCAGGTGCTATTTGCCAACTTATGAAGTTTTCTAGACGCCGTTGCAGTATGTAGAAGATCACCTTACTGGCGTGTGATATTAGAGCTAATAGCCTGTAGTTGTTACAATTATTTGTTGAACCTTTCTTATGAAGAGGTATGATTATGGTCTTTCTCCAATCCTCAGGCCAGACGCCTGTGTGCCATATTTCATTGCACAATCGATGTAACATTTTCACTCCACATTCCGGAAGATGCTTCAAGACGTCTGCAGTAATGAGATCATATCCTGCTGCTTTGTTTAACTTAAGTCTTTTTAAAGCGAATTCCACCTCGGAAAAAAGTATGTCAGGTTCAGACTCAAAACTAGTGTGGTGTGTCTCTGTTGAAGGAGAATGGAAAGTGGAGGTCTGGCAGTCAGGTACAAACAGGGCGTCGGCTGGCATCTGGTCCGTATTGGCGTATAAAGACTTACAATACGCCCTCCAAACATCAATAACCTTGTCCAAATCCGTCTGTACATTACCTTCATCATCTTTGATAGACCAAGATTTCTGCTTGAATTTACGTGTAAGTTGTCTGACTTTATCAAAGAGTTCTTTGGTGTTATTTGTGTCAGCGTGTAGTTGAATTTCTCTGCAGATTTTCTTTATATGCTTGTTTTTGTCTCGTCTACAAGCAGCCTGAATAGCTCTAGATAGCTGTCGGTACTGGGAATTCCTGAGAGGGTTCTCGATTCCAGCAATTTTAAGTTTTCTACGTTCTTCAACGAGGTTTGTGTATTTACCGTGTATAATTTAGTGTAGAATTTTTCAATGGCCTCGCTTATTTCGTTTCTGTCTCGGATGGTGAAGTTTTCTCATTTTTTATTTCTATGATTTTTGTTATACCGCTTTAGTTTTTTGCTTTCAGTACTTTCATATTGCAGATCTTGTATTATATATTTTATTAGATTGTTAGTTTAGTTTCTATGATCGTTCCTAATTTCTTTCTTTACATTTTTGTTTAAACTTTTGAAGCTCTCCGAAGTTCGATCTGTTCTGTTTCGTCTTTCTTGGAGTAGTTTAATTGTATTAAGTTGGAGTTTAAATGTTTTGGCTGTTTTCATGTTTGATCATATTTTCTTCACCTATGTTGTTACAGTTACTTTTATTTTATTGGCTAGTCTGTTTATATCCATTTGTTTCAGTGTCTTATCAGTTTCTCGTTTAATAAGTTTGTTTCGTTCTACTGTCGTCTGTACTGTTTTAATATTCGCTCTAACCAATCTATGGTCACTCCCAGTATAGAATTTGTTTAGTACTGTTACGTCGCGCTTCGGTGCATATGCTCTTTTATTGGAGATTACGTACTCTATTTCGTTCTTAGTTTTCTTGTCTGGGCTGATCCATATCCATTTACGTTGTTTAGGTTTTTTAAAGAAAGTGTTGAGGCAAAGTAAATTTTCGTTGTTTAAGTAGTTGTACAACATCTCACCACTTTCGTTCCTGTTGTCCAGCCCAAAGCGACCAATATATTGTGTGTCGCCCTCTTCTTTTGTTCCAATTTTTGTATTAAAATCTTCTGTGATTATTACGAAGTGTGATTTTTCTTGGTTCCTTGCTGTTCCAAACTGTATCTACTGTTCAAAGTAATGACAAAATATATATGACTCTGTTTGATACTAAATAGAACTTCGTTACTTTATAGGGAGCTCGTTTGTTTATCAGAAACGCTACACCGCCTCTGTGATGATTTTCTACGGAGTTTTTCTGGTAAGCTGGTGACCAGATTTTAAGATGGTACATGCTTCTCCTGGTACGTAAGTTTCGCACTTCCAGTCCAATTATATCCCATTTGATATTTGAGAGCTCTTGTTCTAGTTCGTCAAGGTGTTTTTGGGTCCTCATAGTTCTTATATTGTAAGTGGCTATACGAAGCAATGATGGGTAGTTTTTCTTATTAGATTCAGTCGAATATTTGCCTGCTCCAGAATCCATGAGGCTGACTGATTGCTAAGTGTATAACTCTACCCACCCAAGGTAATTTCGTATTAATACTAATAATAATAATAGTCGACATCTTCAACTTGGGAGGTTTTAACATATTTAAAACGCCACGCTTGCCGAGCGGGTTGGCGAGTGATTCTATACAATCCCCAAAATCAGAGGATTATCACTTTCGCCATCCACCCCGTACCGAAAGTATTCTTCTTCGCCGTGGCTGCCGTTGTGGACTTCATCCGTGACCCTGGATAAGAGACTCTAAGCAGGTATTAGTTTCCCGGACCAGGAAACTTGCGGAGGGCAGGGATTGATTCATTATCCCTAACAGGACTATCCAGAGGAGTTCCTACCCGATACCCGCAAAGAAACAGAATTTTAAAAATAAGAAAAATTTATAATTTTATAGTCATAATAATTTTAAATGAATGTGACCACGAAAGAGCCTTCCACAGAATTATTTTTTTTTTGTAATAGAATTAGTAAGAAGTTATAATTAATCTTACCCGTACAAACCCGCCGAAATCTTCCATAAAACTGGTATTACGTGTATATAATTGTTTTATCAAAGTACCAGCAGTTTCTCTATCTTCGGACGACATATTTATTCGGCTATCAATGAGTTGGCTTGGATTTCTATCCACAGATTCTCTTACGAATACTTCTTGTATTATAGCTAAAAATATTAACTTACTTAGGTGAATGTTACTTTTAGCTTTTCTAATATTAGATTTTTAACTTAATTTATACTTATATTAACCCTCAACCGACATCCCTTTATATTTTCCTCACTATTGATCCAAACGAGAGGTGTCGTACAGTAGCTTTAGATTGTATGGAGATCTGAATCCTTGTTATTTATCTTATAATAGTTGTTATTTTATTGATTTTATTAAATATGACTTTTGTGGTAAGCTTGAGTGCGATGTTTTATTAGATTTATTAAATCTATTCCTTTATAATTGTTGGGGTGCCCTTTATCTCCTTTCATAAACATTGGTATCATTATGCGGCTTCTCCATGCGTCTGGTATCTTGCAGTGCAATATTAGTTTTTGTTTAAGTTTTGTCATCTCAAGGGTTATACTTTCTCCTTCGTGTTTTAGAAGGTCGTTGGTTATTCCGTCTGGTCCTGGTGACTCTCTATTTTTTAGTGAATTTGTGGCTAACTCTACTTCCTGAAAAATGCTTTCTATTTTGTGTTTTAGTTCAGGTACGTTATTGTGTTGATTATTATTTACTATTCCTTTAAACAGTTCCGTCAGGTATCTTTCCCATTCGTTTGCTGGTATGTTACTGTATTCCTTTAATTCTGCTATCTCTTTCTGCTGGTTTCTTATGAATATCCATATTTGTTTTTGTGTATCGTAGAAGTCGCTTTCCATCCTTTTTATAAACTGTTCCTAGTGTTCATTTTTTGTTCTTCTTGCCAACTGCTTTGTTTTAATTCGTATTCTTCTATAGGTGTCTCGTGATTCTGGAGTATTTAATGTTTTGTACTTTATGTAAGCCTCTTGCTTCTCTTTCCATTTCTCTTTTATTTCTTTTCGGAGCCATAGTGTATTGTTATTTCTTCTGTTCATTATGACTTTATGTTTTCCTAGAGCCTCTATTGCTGCTTCTTTAATGTTGTTTTTAATTTTCTCCCAGTTCGCGTTTATATATCTACGAAGTCGTCTATTTGATTTAGTTGTATTTTCTGTGCTAGCCTCCTTTGCTCTATTTCTCTTGTAGTCAGTCTACAGTAATTCTACATGAAATTTTTCCTCGTTGATTTCCTGTAAAAAATGTTTCGGTGTCATTTTTATTCTTATTTTTGCTAGTACTAGTTTGTATTCACTCCCTGCGTCTACTGAGTTTATAGATTGGATATCTAGAATCTGCTTTAAGTGGATTTTTCTATTAGTGAATATAAAATCAATTATATATTTGTGCTCCTTAACGTTTCTTAACGTGGTCAAAATATATATTATTGATTCTCAGTCCGTTAAAAGCACAGAGAGTAGCCATGACTTGCGTTGCTTCATTCGCGTTGATATGGTTTTCATTCAATCTTTGTTTTACTTCTGGAACTATTTTATTTTCGATTCGTATATCAAAGTCTCCTATAAGAATTAAGCGCTCTTCGTGAGGTATTTCATCCAGGATCGTTTGCAATTGTTCGTAGTATCTCTCGTTCCTCCTTATGTTTGCCGTCCTCGAGGCTAAAGATAGATATAACATTTAATTTTTAGTAGTCTATTGTGATGTTCATATATAATATTCTTTAGAAAATATAACGGCAGTTATTTATGTTTTTTTTTTAATTTTTTATGGACAAGTACACCTACGCCTGCTCATGCTCGTTCTTCTTTTGTCGCTCTACTGTATGCTAGAAAATATTGGTTATAATCTCTTTTAAGAAATAAAATTTACTACTAAAAAACTATTTTTTAGTGTAATACTGGCATAAAAAAAGGATAACGCCCTCTTGTCAAGTGGTTTTCATTATGCAGCTCAGACAAGTACTTTTCTGATATACGCTTGGCAATGCACGTGTTAAAAGAGTTTTCTTACCCATAGGTGCGGCTTCCTCTGAATTGAATCCAATGAGAACTGGTACACTTTTATAATTTCCACCAAAAAATGCAGCAAAACCACCATATGAAAATGGTCCTTCCGGTTCGGTGGACACTCCACTTAAGGCTCGTGCCTGTAAATTAAATAATACTTATGATATTATTCTATCTATCTATACTATTATTACAATCAAGATGCCCTAGAAATAAACAAACCAAAACACGTTAAATACACGAAGCACTCTCAAATAATGATTTACAATGCATATATACATTGTATAAATCCCAAATCATGATTTTCAACGTTTATATATTGTAAATGATGATTCAGGAGTGTTTCTCCTAACATTTGAGTGTCTTGGTTTGTATTTTTCTAGTGCATCTTGATTGTGATTTTAGTATAGTACAATCAAAACGATTGACAATATCTACCAGAACAACACAATAAAAGTAAAAGTAGAAAAATCACTAAACGATCCAATTAAAATCATGAATGTGTTGCTTGTGTGAGTCCATTTCAAATAGTTAAAGAAATAATAAATAAGACTTACAATCAATTTAATTTAACTATTCAGACAACCGGTTTGGCTTTCTACAATATGCAAAGCATCTTCAGGTCTCGATACAAAGTTAAATAAATGCTGAAATAATAATAAACCCATATTAGGGTGTTGTCTAGTAAAGATAAACAAAGTAGATGTTATAAAATTACAATAATTATGCCAATATTACATGTCTGTGGTTTTTCAAAATGAATAAAAAGGAATAAAAAGGTATAAAAAGTTTTAACAGACAAGGTAAGACCCACAAATTGTTATAAAATAGTCTATTAGATTGTAATATATTAATAAATGAGCAAATAAATAAAACATTACTTACATGCCGGTACTCTATTATTTGATGGATGGTAGAACATGGTTGAAACTATCATGTATTGTTGAATGGAGAACTTAAGTCTGCTATTGTAGTTGTTTGACAATAAACGGGAAGTTCTTGAGGACATAGATTTGATCCAATGAAGTAGAGATAGGTGTAATGTGATTGTTTGTTAGTTGAAAGTGATGTTATATACCATTGTATTATTTAAAAGTTATTTATACTTATTCAAGAGATATATTTATGAAATGTGTGTTATTATTATGAAATGTGTATTATTTCTATACCTATCTGATCCAATTAAAGCTGGCAATGGAACAAGCCAGGAAGACTCTCTGAGCTCTCTATTATTTAACCTGATCATGGATGAAATCATGAAAAAAGTAGAACCAAAAAAAAGTTACAATAATATTTCTAGTATTGACATATGGATACGAATGTTAAACATTATGGTAATCAGCAGTGAGGATGCCAGACGATACTGAAATGTTCGGCTGCTCACAACATTCAAGTGAAGGTAGAACACCGAAAATAATGAGAAAGATCTCCAGCGAGCGAGATGGATTAACTAGATTACAGGAAATTAAAAGAGATCTATGCACGATCCAATAGACCAGAGACAGAATTCTGTGGGACTTATTTTCTTATGATTTTTTTGAGTCGTATGGTTATATATTTGCAATGTTGCAACTTTTTATGTATAGCATTTTTCATATAAGAATGCTTGCACGTCACAATTTATATAAAGTGACGTTACTTATATTTAAAATTTCCAAAACCTCAACCTCAGAGGTCAAATTTTCCCAACACAACTAATAATACAAAATCTATACAGAACTGCTCGATCTTTTATTAATTAAATAGATTACACAATTATACGCAACTGATATGGGAATACTAATTTTATTGACAGTTCAGCATGTGGCAAAAGTGTGTAAAGTGTTGTCGCTTTTTTAGAGTAAGATTTTTGTTTATGTTTTGATTTCTTACACAATTTGATCATAATAAAATATATATTATTAAATTGTAATTAAGAATGCATATTAAATTTAGATTAATAGCTTTAAAAAAGAATTATTGTTGTATAATGTGATTTTGCTATGTCAAAACAAATAAATAGTCTGTAGAAAGCTAATAAGCTTTCATATAAGATAGTTTATTTTAAACAGGAAATAATGGCGGGACGTTTTTACTATTAAAGCCCTAAAAGAGATAAGTTTAAAATTTAGAATAAATAATTTTGTATTAAAATGTTTTCATACATATTTTAGTGTGTTGCAGTCGTCTTAAAACTCCTTAAAGTGTATTTACTGTTAATATAATAGTTTGAAAAATAGTTGACATTTTAAAAATTCCCCACTTACAAACTATTCTGACAAATAATCGACTTTGTAATCCAACGTCAAACTTCCCAGCTGAAAACAACTGACGTAAGGGTATACCGTGGATCAGAATGTGGATCCGACCATCATTTACTTATGGCCAATGTGATAGTTAACTATCGCAAAAACAATAACACTCAGGTACAGAATATAGAAAAGGGACAAAAAGTAACATCTCCTAAATATAACCTAGAAAGCTTAAAAGAAGATTCAACAAAATTTCTTTACAAATTACTGGCCACAAAATTACAAAATGTGGATCGAGAAAATATAACAGCGGAAGAATTATACCAACAACTTAAAAAGTACATTCATGAGGCTGCAAGTGAAGCTTTGGGGTATAAAGACAAACATGAAACAAAAAATCAAGAATGGTGGTCGGAGAATATGCAAACGTTAGTAAACAAGAAGAAAACTGCTTATCAGAAATGGATGTCAACGAGAAAGGAAGAAGATCACAAGGTATATACGAAATTAAATCGAGATGTAAAAAGAGAAGTAGTGAAAAGTAAAAATGAGATGTGGGATCGAAGATATGCAGAGGTGGATAGGTATATGGGTGGAACAAGAGTTGGGCAAGCGTGGAAGGTGATAAAGTCTCTCCGGAGGGAAGGAAAGGAAAAATCTAACTTAAAATTAATAGATCTGAAACAGTGGAAACAGCATTATGAGGTCTTATTGACAGAGGATAGACGTAAATTCCAAGATATCGAAATGGAAGAAATATCTGAACATACACAAATAATTGAGATAACAACCGGAGAGTTAAGCGATGCCCTCAAAAGATCGAAAAACGGTAAAGCAACAGGACCTGGAGACATCCCAATTAAGTTGGTAAAGTATGGACCAAAAATATTACACGAGATGATGGTTAAACTATTTAATAAATGCTTAAAAGGACAAAATATCCCTGATGATTGGAATGTTGGATACATCAGCTCAATATACAAAAAAGGGGATAAACGCAATTGCTCTAATTATAGAGGAATAACTGTTACTAGCTCAGTGGGGAGGTTGTACGGTCGAATAATATAAAAACGAATTGAATCAGAATATGAAGACATAGAGGTACAAAATGGATTTCGGGCAGGAAGATCGTGCATTGATAATATATTCGTTCTGCAGCAGGTAATCGAAAAACGGAAGGCAAGGAATCTATCTACCCACCTATTGTTTGTAGATTTAGAGAAGGCATATGATACGGTACCTTTGAAAAAACTATTTTATACATTGACGAAAGTAGGTCTCAGTAGAGAGTATGTGGATGCTATCGCAAATATATACAAAAATGCAAGAAGTGTCGTTAAAGAAGGAAACTTTATATCTGAATCATTTCCAATAACCAAGGGGCTTAAACAAGGATGTTGTCTGTCTCCGACCCTGTTTAAAATATATATTCAATCATCGCTAGAGCAGTGGAGAAAACAAGTATCCGGAATGGGAATAGACATAGGCGGTGGTGAATGTCTAACAGCTTTATTTTTCGCAGATGATCAGGTAGTCGTAGCGAATCACGAGGAAGACATGGACTACATGTTTAGAAAACTAAAGAAAGAATATGAAAAATGGGGCCTCAATATGAATATGGCAAAGACAGAGTATCTTAAAATAGGAGATGGTGAAGAAGATCCAAAGTTAGAAATTAGAAACACAAAAACATGCAATGAATATAAATATCTCGGATCTATAATATCTAAAGAAGGCACTACCAAAAGAGACATCGAAAACAGAACACAGCAGGGAAAAAAAGTGGTAAACATTCTAAACTCTCTACTTTGGTCTAAAGATATTAGACAAGAAACGAAATTGACAATCTATCGAACCTTGGTAGAGCCTAATATGACTTATGGGGCAGAGGTTTGGCAGATAACGCAGAAGGATAGAAAAAGAATAGAAGTAGTAGAAATGGATTTTCTAAGGAGAGCGTGTGGTATATCCAAAAAAGATCACATCAGGAATGAAGATATTAGAAGGAGGACAAATACTGTATATTCCAGTGTAGATAGAATTGAAACGAGACAACTAGTGTGGTATGGTCACGTGAAACGAATGAATGAAGATAGATGGCCAAAGAAAGCTTTAAATTACATACCATAACAAAGAAGAAGAAGGGGAAGGCCTTCAGTTGCCTGGAAAGAAAATGTACGGCACATAATGAGAGATAGAGCCATCAGAGAAGACGAATGGATGGACAGAAAACGATGGCGGTCGAAATGCGAGAAACGGCAGAGGCTGTAGGAACCTCGCTTATATATATATATATATATATATATATATATATATATATATATATATATATATATACAGATTGAACCAAATTAAAACGGAACATACAATTTAATACATGTCTGTTTGAACTGCATTTGAAATAGTGGACCAATATAAAACTTGGACAAAAATAAATCCATACCTGGGTATAGACATTGTATAAAATATCGTCCAACTACCTGTCTCGCAACAAAGTTGTTTGCGTAAGACGGGTTTGTCTAAGGAGGCGATAATAGTTCAGGAAATCAAGCTCGAAAAAAGTTAAAACCTCGCAATTTTTTCGTCCTGCATGTATCCAGTTAAAATTTTAGCAGAAGGTAGGTAATAGCCCGAGGATCAAAATCTATATCGAACCGAAGTGCGCTGAAGGGTTTTAGGGGTGAAAACTACCCCTAATTGTCAAAAATTATAAAATAACATATTAAACCTGAATATGGGTAAGATTTGGTTTGAATTAGTTCAATAATGATTATTTTATACTTTTGAATAGAGTTCCATCATATTTCAACCCTTAAAAAGCAACCCTTGTTAGAGATTAATGTAAAAAATTACTAATTCTAAAAAAATGATTTCGCCTTGGATCGATTTGGATAAAAATTTGGATTTAAGCTCAATTCGCCCGCTGCTTTATAGTTTATGTCATGTCGACGAACCCTGATTGTTATTAGGGGTGAGAACTACCCCTAATTGTCAAAAATTATAAAATAACATATTAAACCTGAATATGGGTAAAATTTGGTTTGAATTAATTAAATAATGATAGTTTCGTGCTTTTGAATAAAGTTCCATCATATTTCAACCCTTAAAAAGCGACCCTGATTAGAGAATAATATAAAAAAAATTAGTAATGCGAAGAAAATGATTTCACCTTGGAACGATTTGCATAAAAATTTGGAATTAAGCTCAACTCACCCTCTGCTTTATAGTTTATGTCATGCCGATGAATCCTGATTGTTCTTAGGGGTGAAAACTACACTTAATTTTAAAAAATTGTAAAATAAAATTACAAATCTTAAGATGAGTGAAATTTGGTTTGGATTAGTTAAATAGTGAGTTTTTTATACTTTAAAATACAAATTCATATATTTTCAACCCTTAAAAATCAATTGTTATGAGTGCTATAGGTAAAAACAATTTTTTGCCAAAATTTTGCAAGTTTTCAACTTTTGATAATTACTCTTTACAACATTGCAGTTTTTATAAACTAATTTATAAGATATAAATTGAAAAAAGTAGAATTAAATACAAAAAAAATTATCAACATAAAAAGGCACCATATATTCTTATACATTTACATAAATAGTTGAAAATATTTACATTTATAGGTAAAACAATTATAATATTAATTTTATTCGTCATCAATTACATCTTCATCGTGATCTATGTCATCCTCATCTTCTCCAATTATTGGTGGACTGTTATTGCACCCTTCACCTGAGCACCCAGAACAAGTAGAGTTACAGTATAAACCAACTTTTCTGCACCCATATGAAACGCCGCATCTTTTTTTGCATTGGCAAAAAATAATTTTCAAAAATTTATCAGAGTACAGGTTGTTTGGAATACCATCCCCAATCTGTTGCTCTGATATTTTCATTGCCAAGCCATAGACATATGAGCAGATGTTTTATTCTGTTGTATGGGATTTCAAAATAAGAACGCTTAATATTTCGAATGTATAACGCCCCACTACCTAATATACCGGTTTTGTAGATTATTATGCTCCGAAATGTAATGTACTATACTAATGGAATTTTCCGGAAAAAATTAACTGTTTTTTTTTAACGTATTTCCTTTAATTTTTAACGATAGAGTGTTTCTTTCAAAACGATTTGTAGAGGTTTTTAATAGCTACAAGGATCTGTAAATTAAATCTTTTTGGAACCCTTGGTTTTTAAATGAGGTGAGTTTAAAGGGCTCGAAAAAGATGGTGCTTGATCGTAAATCGATGCTTTAAACGGCTATATCTCGCCAAATTTTCATTGTACAACAAATCTAAATAAAGGATAATTTTAGTCATTAAAAAAGCTACAATTTGGTAATTTTTTTTTTGTTCATATATTCAGTATTTTCGGGCATATTTAAAAAAAGAAGGGTAAAAAATATGAAATTGTAAATCGTTTCTCGCTTTAAGCTGTACTTTTTCTAAAACTAAGCATTTTAAATAAGTCAAAGTTCTTGGACGTATTAACAATACATCTACAAAGGGAATTGCAGAAGGGTGAAGATCGATTTTAATTATGGGGGTGGTGAGGGTGTTGTTTTCCTCGATTTTTTCGTAAAAAATGAGGTATTGACCTTATTTTTTTATGATAGGTCTATTTATGTTCTTTAAAAAAGGTTTTGTGAGTTTTCTTCCAAAAATGCATCATTTTTCCGATATTTGACTTTGAATCTTTCAAATTTGGCATTTGAAGAAAACCGCTGAACATTGATATTGTATTTGTAATTGTATTTGTCTTTTTAAAAGCTACAAATTTGTTCTCTACAATTTTTTTAATAAAATGCACAATTTTCGAGTTATTCGCGAAAAATCAATTAAAAACGTGGATTTTTTCGTCTAAAAGTTGTTACTTTCAATCGCGAATAACTTGAAAAATATCATTTTATAAAAAAAATGTATAGCACATTTTTTGTTTAGAATCACTTTTCTAATCGAAACCTGTAGTTAAAACGTAAAAAAAATTTTCACCCCGGAGATGGGGTGGCAACCACCCCCTAGGCTTTGGCGCACTTTGGTTCGATATAGATTTTGATCCTTAGGCTATTACCTACCTTCTATTAAATTTCAAGTCAATCCACGCCGCACGAAAAAATTGCGAGGTGAAATGTTACATTTCCTGGACTATAACTGGTTTGACAGCATAATAAAATCGTAGATTTATGTGTAGCTTTCAATTTTTATGAGTTCAGAATCCAGCAGCCCGGTGAAGTATGGGATTTTTTTTTAATATAATTATTTGACAATCTTTTGTTGGCCAACCAGCTACAGCAGAATTGAGCCGAAATACATTATATTCCTATGTTCCGAATTTATTTCGTTCAATCTGTATATATATATATATATATATATATATATATATATATATATATATATATATATATACAAACTATTCTGATGTTTTGGCAACGCTGTGGGGTTCTGACGTCGTAAATCTTTAATGACGTGCAAGCATTTTTATATGAAAAATGTTATATAAAGCATCAGACGATACCCCAGGTTTCCCTTCATATCGTCAGCTTGCATATTTGAGTAACTTACGTTTTGAATATCCCTTGCCTCCGCCTTTTGTAGTACTTTTAGCAACTCCTCTGTATCATTAGATGTAAAGTTACGATCCACTGACCTACCAAGTGCTAAGGCTGTGTTGGTTTCATTAACCTGTGTGAACCAACCTGCGACTGGGCTTCCGCTTTGCATTATTGCAGCATGGAACAACTCTGCGAACAAAGTTAGTGAGATAACTAACTACCAGAAGACAAAACTCTATACACAGGTATGACATTAAAAGATAGTAAAACTATTATTAATAAAAAATCCATTCACAATAAAAAGTAACTTAAAATAGGGTAACAATAAAATTTTAGCGTATGCTGTAAAAAAAATAACTAGACTAAAGTAGAAAAAATGCCTCTAGAATTGGAAGACTTCTTTGAAAAAATAAATCGACCATTGGCGATGTCTTTTTCTTCTTTTTCTTTCTTGTATGTAGGCTTTAAAGGCTGTTTTTATCTTCAATATTAGTCTCAAATTGTTTATATATGGTCAAAACCTCCAAAACCGAACATGTCGATTGCAACAGAAACACGGAAGGTACCCCAGGTGGGTAGGAATTCTGTTCCACAGTCCCACACCGTAACAACGGTCTGCCCTGAGGATTCTGGGGAGGGTGCAAGTCGACATTGAAAAAGAAGAAGAACAAAGAACTCCATATAGCAACATACAACATACGCTCGATGGCAAAAGATGAAAATCTCTACGAACTAGAAAATAAATTGGAGTACTTGAATTGGGACGTAATGGGACTCTCAGAAGTTAAAAGAAGAGGTGGAGGACATGTAGACTTACATTCAGGCAACATTCTCTATTATAAAGGCTGGTAAGACTACACATACGGTGGAGTAGGTTTCTTAATCAACAAGAACAAAAATCTCAAACTAAGTCCAAAAACTGGAATAAAAATCGTGCAAGTTTATGCTGCAACTGAAAAAGCAACCGATGAGGAAATAAATACTTTTTACCAAGACCTTAAAAATGCTATAGACAACAACAAAGAATCCAAAATAATAATAATGGGAGACTTTAACGCCAAAATTGGAAGTAAGATTGAAGACTCTGAAAACAAGATTGGAAATTTTGGATTCGGCACAATAAACACAAGAGGAGAAAAACTTATGGAATTCCTGGAACAAGAAAACTTGTACTTATATTATGAATACCTTCTACAAAAAAAAACCTAACAAAAAGTGGACATGGGTCGCACCTAACGGGACTACCAAAAATTAAATAGACTATTTTCTCTCAAACAACAAAGGAATATTTAAAGACTTCATAACAATAAACAACGTAACAACGAGTAGTGACCATCGTATAATCAGAGCAATAAAAAATATTAACATGAGAGAAGAGAGAAAAAGGATTTTTAAAAAAACAACGAGGATAGATGCCTTTAAACTAGGAACAAATAAGAAGCAGTTCGTATAATGAACATAATCAAGATCAAATTGACGAGATTAATAAAAATATAAATAAAAACCTTCTCGCAGCCGGACTACAGGTCGCAAAGAAAACAAGAACTAAAGGAGACAAAATAAGCAATAAAACTAAACAACTAATAAAGGAAAAAAGACAACTACTAGCGCAAAACAAACGCTATACTGAAGAATACAGAGAACTTCAAAAGGAGAACGTCAAAAGAAAATCAAAAACGTGGGATCAGAAGTACTACCAAATATAAAGAGATTCGAAATAGAAAGAGCTTTAAAAGAGCTAAAAAATAATAAAGCTCAAGGACACGATGGCATAATTGCCGAGCTCTTAAAAACAAGTAAGACATTAACAATCCCTGTACTAACAGAGCTATTTAATAGATATCTCCATAATAGCAAGATCCCTAAAGATTGGAACGAGAGTCTAGTAATACTCTTACACAAAAAAAGGGGACAAATGTGATCTGCAGAATTATAGACCTATATCGTTGCTCAGTCAAGTATACAAATTATTTATGAAAATTATTAACAACCGGTTGACCTACAAAATGGACAATTACCAACCGGTTGAACAGGCTGGCTTCCGCAAAGGATATAGTACATCAGACCATCTGCTGACAATGAGAACATTGATAGAGAAGGCAAATGAATACCAACTACCCGTATTTCTTGCCTTCGTCGACTATGAAAAGGCGTTTGATAGTATCGAGATGTGGGCCATAGAACAAGCTATTAATAATTGTAGAATAGACTCGAGATATGGGCAACTAATACATAATATATATGAAAATGCAACTATGATAGTACAACTAGACGAAAATACAAACCTCGTCCCCATTAAGAGAAGACTGAGACAAGGAGACGTAATATCGCCAAAGCTTTCACCAACCTAGCCCTAGAAGACATTTTTAAAACTACAAATTGGTCAACCTATGGCATTAACGTTAATGGCAACAAGTTAAACCACCCCAGATTCGCTGACGACATAGTGATTATAGCGAGCACATTCGAGGAACTGCAAATTATGATGGAGGAACTAGCAGGCAGCTCCTAATACGTCGGCTTAAAAATTACTATGAAAAAAACAAAAATAATGACAAATACAGATGACCTTAGACCTATAACTATAAATGGCAGTGAGATAAAACAAGTCCAGGAATATATCTACCTAGGCCAGATCCTGAAACTTGACAAAGAGAACCAAAGTGTGGAAATTACTAGAAAAGTAAGACTAGCATGGGCAGGATTTGGAAAACTCAGTTTTATACTTAAGAACTCCAAAATACCCCAATACTTGAGGAGCAAAGTGTTCAACCAATACATTCTTCCTATCATGACATATGGATGTCAAACCTGGACCCTAACCAAGGCAAACATGAATAAACTAGCCACAATAGAAAGAACAATGGCAAGAGCAATGTTAGGTATACGACTATCAGATAAAACGAGGAACGACTAGGTAAGATCAAAAACAAAAGTCGAGGACATAACAATAAAAATTGACAAACTTAAATGGAGCTTTGCGGGCCACACTGCTAGACAAAAAGACCAACGTTTGAATACTACAATACAACATTGGAGACCTTACGAAAGTAAACGACCAAGAGGAAGACCACAGATGAGATGGGTTGATGACATTAAAAGAATAGCCGGAACAAATTGGAAATATGTTGCTCAGGATAGAGACCTATGGAAGGAGTTGGGAGAGGCCTATGTCCAAACATGGACGATAGAAGGCTAAGAAGAAGAAGAAATAAATTGTTTAAATTATCGTACCATCTTTTTCTTGGTCTGCCAATACTTCTTCGTCTATTTGGTGACTTATCTCGTGTTATTCATACTATCCTATCCTCTGTCATTCTACTAATATGTTCGTTCCGCTTCTGTTTCCGTTTTGTCACCATCCATTTCTGTCTTCTATATTGCATGGACGTACCTTATCCAGACCTACCTTAAGACTTTAGCAGTTTTATAATATTCATTTGCAAGTATTTATTTGTATAAAGTGTAGTTACTTACGTTTGCCGTTTTCCCACGGTCCTGTAAGATGATATCCAACCGACATAGATCCTGCACTTTGACCCGCTATAGTTACATGATTAGGATCTCCACCAAACAAATGAATATTTTTATTCACCCATTCCATAGCAAACCTCTGATCTTTGAGTCCATTATTTAAAGAAATAGCTCCATCGTTGGTGCCAACAAAGCCTAGAATTTGTTTTACTATAATAGATATCATATTTGCAAACAAGCAATAGTTACCAAAAGAACCAAGTCTGTAATTAAAGGTAACAACGACGATACCAGAATCCATTACATATTTTGGACCAACAGACTCAAATGTACCGGCTCCTATGGCAAATCCTCCTCCATGGATGAATATCAAAACTGGAAGCAGATTGTTGCTGCCTGGTTTCTATAAATTATAATTATTTATTTATCATATAAGCAATCTAAACTTTTGTTATATGCAATAACAGTATTAGATTGAATCAAAAAATACTCACTTCTGGCGTGTAGACATTGATATATAGACAATCTTCAGTTATTTCAAAGTTATTATTTAGCAGCATGTCCTGATAACAAATTTTGGTATTTCTAGTGGTATTAAGAACATCGGTCCAGGGCTCCGGCGGCTTGGGGGACTGTAACAAAATTTATTACTAAAATGTAACTTATCTTCATTTGATTAATATTGCATAAAACCTACAGATATGGTAGATTTCCCAAAGTTATTTCAGGAACATAATAGCAAAGATTTAAATTTTCTTCTTTTTTAAGCTAGTGATATATTATTCTCGAAGAATTGAAAACATTTTTCAACGAATGTCTTCACAGAGAAGAAGTCCCAGATGATTGGAATGAAATTTTGATAATACATACTTTTCTTCAACAAGGGAGAAGGGAAGATTTCAAGAACTATAGGCCAATCAACCTGCTGTCCAAAATATACAAAATGTTTATGAGAGTAATAACTATCAACCTCGATAGATATAGTCAGGATTCCGAAAAGGTTACGGTACAGCGGATCATCTTCTTACAGTCAGAACTCTAATAGAGAAAGCCAATCAAATATTACAAGCCAACTTGTAATTATATTGGCTTCGTTAATTATGGAAAGGCATTCGATTCCATAGAACTTTGGGCAATAGAGAGATCAATGAAAAACTGCAGGATAGACTCCCGATACAGAATACATAATATTTACAAGAAAGCTACAATGAAAATACAAATTGATGAGAAAACCATAGCTATACCAATCAACAGAGGAGGTCGCCAGGGAGATGTTATCTCACCAAAGCTATTCACACTTGGACTGTAAAACGTGTTTAATGACGTTAACTGGGCAGATAAAAAAGTAAATGTTAATGGAAGAAAACTGAGTAGTTTAAGATACTCTGATGACATTGTATAGTCGGTTCGCTATATTTACGCGGGTTTCGGATTAACAAAATTATGCTTATGACTCATTGATAACCAGTTGCAGTAAACGACTTCCCAGAAAATTAGGTAAAAGCTGCAATAATGGTCATATTTTAAAATACATTAAAATAACATTAGGGTAGGTATAAATTTGTTACAATATTGCAGTTGAATTGATTCTTTGCCAGTGTTGACATTATGATATGTTTGGTGGAAATATTTAAAAATGCCTAGACGTGTGTTAGATGTAGATAGTCTAATTTGTAGTGTACATAAGTATTTTACGGATGAAAAATAAAATGGCGGTTCTTTAAAATCGGTATGTCTGTTCAACAACGCATATGTGATGCTCTAGGAATTAGTGAAACCAAACTAAGAGGAGTATTACAAAATCGCAATAATGAACGACCGAAAGAAGATCACCGAAAACCTCGCCTATTATTGAAAACGAAAGATATTCCAGATGAATAAAAATTTAAAATTCGTGATACCATTTATCGAATGCGAGCCAACAAGGAACATGTGACCTTAAATACAATTCTTTCGAAATTAAAAGATAGAAAATTTGACGAAATTGGCAGAACAAGTCTATGGCAAGTGATACATAATTTGGGTTTCAAATTTCAAAAGGAGGATAACAGAAAAGCCCTTTGTGAAAGAAGTTCTGTTGTGCATATAAGAATTAACTTTCTAAGAAAATATTCTAAATTAAAAGAAGAAAGGGCAAATTTTATATATTTAGACGAAACATGAATATTTTCTAGGGGTACAACCACTAGGGGGGAGAATATGGCAAGATGATAACGTAAAGTCTTTTATACATGCTGATGGAGAAGGGAAGCGACACATAATTTTACATGCAGGAGGGAAATCGGGTTTTATAGAAGGTGCTGATTTAATATTTTCATCTAAATCAAAATCAAGTGACTATCACGATAATATGAGCACAGAAATATTTGTAAAATGGTTACATGAAAAACTTCCAGGTTTAAGTGAGCCCAGCGTAATTATTTTAGACAATGCACCTTACCATTCTGAAGTATTAAACAAAAGTCCAACGAATTCTTGTACTGTTAATAAAATTAAAGAATGGTTGACAAAGGAACATATACCATTTACACAACATATTTTAAAATCAGAATTATTACGCTTGTCAAATATCCACGCAAAACCAAAAACCTTTGTTGTGGATCAGATTATTGAAAGTTACGGTCATCAAGTTTTACGTCTACCACCGTATCATTGCCAGTTTAATCCCATCGAATATATTATGGGGAATAGCAAAACAATATTATGACAACCATATTGGGCCTAACGGTTATAGCGACGACGCAGTTCGGGAAACTTGGCGAAAAGCACTTTCAATTGTAATTCCAGAAGTGTGGTGCAACTGTATATTCAAGTGCGAGAAACTAATGGAAGATTGGTGGACTCGTGAAAATAAAATAAACGAAATAAGTCTAATCATAATAACAATTAATGGTGATGACAGTGATGATGATGACGATTATGATATTTTTGATTATAATGACTGATTTTCATTTTTGTTGGCAAGTTAATTTTTTCTATTTTTCATTAGAAATTCTCTCCATGGAACAAATATACATAGACCATATTTTCTGTGTGAAGTGTAATCTAAAATTATTATAAGGTTTATATTAGCCACATTAGACTCTATTAATTAAGTAATTCTCCTTTATACTGTCAATATATAAAAGATTTTCCATTATTTAATTAAAAAAAGTTATGGATTATTTTTAATTTCTTTTGACCAGTTGATATTTCCCCAAAGAGCAGGTAATTAAAACTGGGTACTTACAATAAAATTTTTAATCCGAAACCCGCGTAAATATAGCGAACCGACTATAATATTCGCTACAAGTTTTGAAGAACTACGGACCATGATGACGCATGGACTACGGACTCTTTTTCAGATGTTTGTTTATTTATTATTATTACTTGTTTTTCTTTAAAAATTTTCATCTTTAACTTCTTCACTTCTTCTTTCACATATTTAGGATTATTTTACTGTAGATGCCATCCATAAAATATTGCCAGCGTATAGAAATCTTTCCATTTTTATGTATTGTAAATTTCTCTATTTCACATAAGTTTTGGCAAAAATTTTATTACTTCTTGTTATTTTTATCCTATCTACTGCTGTATTAAATATCAAAGACTGAGACTGTTATATTTCTTTTTGATTAGAGTTTGCCCAATTTGTCCTTATTCAATCGTATCCATTTTCTCACAAAAGCACACCATTCAATTTTAGCCATGTTTTCCTTCTACTCCAATAAAGTTTACCATCTTTAAAGAACTATTGTCACTTTCTTTTTTTATTATCTTTATTTCCTTATTGCTTCTGCCGACTTTACTAAAGTGTGAAGAAATGGAGTAATTGGGGGAAAAACATAACCACTTTAACATACATAAACTAGTCAAAGAAGTGAGGTCATACAACACCTTGCAGTTTTAACAGTATTGTAAAGTACAATGAATTAATTACTGATTACAAGGATCTAATTTAACATTGGAGACACTACAGACAGCAACCATACTCAGAAAACACTAGAAGAAACTCCGAAAGTGAATATAAAAGTGAACGCTCCCCCAAAATATTAAAGTCAGAAGTTGAAAGGTCAATCAAACAGAGCAAATGCGGAAAAGCACCAAGCCCATGCGAAATATACATAGAGGTTCTACCAATGTTGAGTGAAGACTATAAAGACGCATTGGTTGATTTTTTTTAATGACATTTATGGGTCAGGTCAAATACCACCAATTCGACCTTCGGTGGCGACCAATTCCAAATGATCAGCTTATTAAGCCAAGTCATTAAAGATAATTATCATAAGAATATACAACAGATGTGAAAGAGACATTAGTCCCACATTGTTCGGTTTTAGATAGGGATTTGGTACAAGAGAAGCACTTTATAGCTTAATTATTGTCCTACTTTAGAAATGCAGAGATCAGCAAAAATCTTTCTTCCTATGCTTTGGAAACAAGACTAAAAAACATTTAAATGAATCAAGTAGCATCTGTGAGAGTAGGACTGGGATCTACATAATATTTCTCAATCGAAAAAAGGATACAATGGGGTTGTGTTCTGTCACCCCTCCTTTTTAGTCTTCACTCTAAAACGATTTTCGATAGAGCCTTAAGTGACACTAAAGATGGAATCAAAATCAACGGACAAACTATAAGTAATCTTTGCCATGCTGATGATACAGTCATAATAGCTGATACCCAAGAAGCTCTATCACGACTAATAGATAGAATAAACACTGAAGGATAACGACTGGGCTTGAAGATTAATATAGACAAGACGAAGGTAATGGTGGTTAGTAGAACACGAAATAAGCAATTAAATATAAGAGTAAACAATAAAAACATCCAAAAGGTCCCAAAGTTTAGATATCTCGGTAGTTGGATAACTAAAGATCTAGATCCAGACATAGAGATACGTAGCAGGATTGAGCAAGCCAGAACAGCATTTACCAATATGAGAACCTTGCTAAGCAACAGCAGCCTCAACTTACCGCTTCGATATCGCTTTGTAAAATGTTACATTTACTCCATACTGCTATATGGTGTAGAAACCTGGACCATAAAGGCCAATGTGATGAACCGATTAGAGGCCTTTGAAATGTGGGTATTTAGAAGACCACTTAAAATTCCCTGGACAGATCACACAACATATTTCGAAGTATTAAATCGAATGGACAGAGAACGAGAATTGCTGCCAATAATAAAAAGAAGAAAAACTGCTTATCTAAGTCATAAATTTCGAAATTCCAAGTAGCAGTTCTTAAAGCTTATTATGGAAGGGAAGATAGAAGGAAAACGGGGCATCGGAAGAAAGAAATACTTATGGCTTAAAAACATAAGGGATTGGCTAAACCTCGTTGCTCATGCACTCTTTAGAGCCACACAAGATCGAGAGGAGCATGCCAGAATTGTCGCCAACATCCACTAATAGGATAGGGCACCATAAGAATAAGAAAACTTTACTAAACAATTTCGTTCAAATATTGGACAATCGAGGGAAAGAGAGGCCTAGGAAGGAAAAGACTATCGTGGCTCAGAAATATCCGACAATGGACAGGGCTAAATTTTGAACAGCTAGTAAGAACAGCTGAAGATAGAGAAGAGTTTAAAATTGTAGTAGCCAAGGAGAGGGCACTTTAAGAAGAAGATTGGAAAATCTATTAAACCAATTAGCAACTTTAGAAGATTCTTAGTTTCCTTTTGCCATGCTTTTACCGAATCTTCTTAACAATTTTGTTCAATAATTGGGCAATCTATGAAATTAAGCAGTAACCTAAGAAGATTTTTAGTCGCGATTCACTCACTTTCTTTCTAGTTTGTTTAAATTGTTAAATTTTAGAATGCTTTAAATAGCCGAATTGTTAAATAGAGTAATTCGACTTTAACAATTGTGGACGTATAAAAACAATTCCCGCGAACGAATCTGTTACAGTTTTTATTAAGTGATACAACCTTACTTGAAATCTGTTTTCCCCTACAGGTGGTGCGGCGTATGGGATTTCTTGAAAAGCATAATAATCGTTTCCATTTTCACTTTTAAGTATGTGTCCACGAATCTTTCCTTCCTCAAGTTGTACTATGGTACCATCATCTGCAAGACTTTTTGTTGCACTTTTTTTGACGGTAGCTATTAAAAAAAATAGCTGTAGTATATTAATCACGTTCATGGTCAGCTAATATTAAATAACTAATCTATTTTTTAAGAAAGATCTGATAAATGTTTGCTTTTATATAATTGTTTTTTATTTTCTTAGAAAAGATAAAACAAAACACTTTGAGGGTCTTTATCTCAAGTTAATTTTTTTCTGATAATGATGACTATGTAATATGACAGATATTTGTTCATAAAATAGGTTTTAAATAAATACTTTCCAGAAAGAATATAATAAAGTTTTTCAGACGACAACAAAAAATATTTTTAAAGTATTTTTCTTAGAATTGTAAGTTATTTTTGTTATTTTTGCCATAAAAATAGTCATCATCATCATCACTCGGCCCTAAGCGTCCACTTCTGGACATAGGCCTCCCTCATTTTTGTCAATTGTGCTCTATCTTCAGCACTTTTCACCAAAGTTCTTTACATGTTCTTGAAATCGTCAGTCCATCGTGTAAGGGCTTCCTCTACTTCTTTTGTCTAATTTCGGCCTCCATTCAAGCAATCTCTTCATCCACCTTTCATCACTAATTCGGGCGAGGTGTCCGGCCTAGTTCCATTTTAGTGTGGCAATTCAGGAAATTACATCGGTAACTCCTGTTCTTCGTCTTAAGTCTTCATTTCTAACTCGGTCACAAAGCGATATACTCAGCTTTGATCTTCCCATTTTCCTTTGAGCTATTTGCAGCGTTTTAGAACTTGTAGCTGTCAATGTCAATGTTTCGGCACCATAGGTCATCACAGGCAACACACATTGGTCAAATGTTTTACGTTTTAAAGAAATTGGTATATCGCTTTTAAAAATGTCTTTGAGTTTTCCATAGGCTGCCCATGCTAGGTTTATTCTTCTTCGTAGTTCGCATGTTTGGTTGTCTCTTGTGATCTTTATTTCGTGTCCAAGATATACGTATTTTTCCACCAGCTTTGCTTCGTTGTCTCCAATATTGATATTTTCGCTAGGTACTAAGTTTGTCATGAATTTTGTTTTATAGATGTTTATTTTAAGACTCACACTGGCACACACTAACTGAAGTTCATGTAGCATTGTAGATATCTCCTTGAGGTTATCCGAGAACAAAACTATATCGTCTGCGAATTTTGAATTTGTTAGTCTTCTACCGTCAATGTTCAGGCCTTTCTCTTCCCAGTTTTTTACAAGCATATTCTAGTACTGCGGCAAACCGTTTAGGCGATAAGTTATAACCCTATCGGACTCCTCTGCCGATTTTGTATGTATTGTAAATTAACCTTGTATATCGGTAGTCAATGCGGCATGCTTGTAGTGCTTCCAGGATTTTGTCACATTCTACCGTGTTAAAGGCTTTATGGAAATCTACAAAAGCCAGAACGAGTGGTCGATTGTATTCGATAGTCTTTTCTATTACCGTTTTAATGCTCTGTAGGTGATAATTTGTTCCAAATCCGGTACGAAATCCCGCTTGCTCTATTGGGTGGTAGAAATCAAGTTTTTTCTCAAGACAATTTGTTACTATTCTTGTAAAGAGTTTGTATAGGTGACTAAGAAGACTAATAGGTCTGTAGTTTTCTAATTCACGGGAATTTCCTTTTTTGTACCGGGTGGTCCAATAAGCCGATCTCTCGGCTATATATCAGAAACTATTCATGTTATAACTTTAGGAAAAAAAATTCCTTAGTAAAAGTGGCCAAGAGAAATCTCTGGAAATAACTTTCAAGATTCTGGATTAACCGCTAGGGGGCGTAACCTGCGAAGAAAATTTTGAAAACCAGTTTTTTGGGAAATACGTCCAATTATACAAAGCGTTAAATAAGTAAACTAGAAAGGGGCATAAATTCTGCACAAAGTTGTTCAAGTACTTTTTTTTTATTTTTTCAAATAAAGGGTGGGGGAGAGTGGAAAAGTATTTATGGATAAATACCTATAACTTTAATTTGATCCAACCGATTTTAATGAAATTAGTGTCATTAGAAAGAGTGTGAATGAATTAATTCATATCTACTATAAAATACTTGCTTTCAATTTTCATAGTCGTAGGGAGAGGGGACTTTCAAATAAAAAAAATTAAAATATGTTTTTCTTCAAAATTTTTAATGGAAACACCTATTTATTGTAAATTATAATGGAACTGGAATAAATTCGTAACAAAATGGAGCAAACCGCATGTTAATAGCTTTTGTTGAACTCGAGATATGAATAAAAACTCATAAACATAAGTAAGTATAGTATTGACACACCCTGTATTATAAATTACATTAAAAAATAAGTTAGTAGGTATTTTCAAATTGTTTTATAGCAGAAGAATCTTAATGTTGATACCTATTTTGTAAAAAATATTTTTTTCGAAACTGAGTAGGCTACGACAATGAATTTGACGGGGTGTTCATATTGTTTATTTATTGACAGCAGTCAAAACGTTGTTAAGAAGTGCTATATTATAATTCGAATTAAAGATTTCACTTTTTTCAATAGATATTAATATTGGTAATATTAGTAATTAATTATCAGTACAAATAATTCGTGATGAGTATATCAAATTGTATGATATGATTGGAGTTTATTTCGAATGTCACCAAAATGCCGCTATTGCCTCACGTATATATTTTGTAAGATATCGTGTCGGGAGACATTATGGCAAAGAAGTATTTGAAAGAAAGGCAAAAAGATTAAGAGAAACTGGTAGTTTTTCTCGTCCTTGTTTTAAACGACGTAGTAGAGTTATGACCGAAGATAATTCAATCAATGTTCTTGCTTTAATTCAACAGAATCCACATATGAGTAGTCCGAAATCTCTACTTCTTTGCCACAATATCTCCTGCCAGGATATCTTACAGAATATATACGTGAGGCAATAGCGCCATTTTGGTGATATTCGAAATAAACTCCAATCATATACAATTTGATATACTCATCACGAATTATTAGTACTGATAATTAATTACTAATATTACCAATATTAATATCCATTGAAAAAAATACAATTTTCAATTCGAATTATAATACATATAACACTTCTTAACAATATTTTGACTGCTGTCAATAAATAAACAATATGTCAATAAACAAACTCCCTGTCAAATTCATTGTGGTAGCCTACTTAGTTTCGAAAAAACAATTTTTAATCATATGAAATAACAATAGTCAAAATAGGTATCAAAATTAAGAGTTTTCTACTATAAAATTTTTTGAAAGTACCTACTGACTTATTTTTAATTTATTTTATTATACAGGGTGTGTCAATACTATACTTACTTATGTTTATGCGTTTTTGTTCATATTTCGAGTTCGATAAAAGCTATTAACATGCGGTTTGCGCCATTTTGTTACGAATTTAATCCAGTTCCATTATAATTCACAATAAATAGGTATTTCCATTAAAAATTTTGAAAAAAAACAAATTTTAATTTTTTCTATTCGAAAGTACCCTCTACCTACGACAATTAAAACTAAATGCAATTATTTTATAGTAGATGTAAATTAATTCATCCATACTCTTTCTAATGACACTAATTTTGTTAAAATCGGTTGATCCAAACCAAAGTTATAGGTATTTATCCACAAATACTTTCCCACTCTCCCCACCCTTTATTTGAAAAAATAAAAAAAAAGTACTTGAACAATTTTGTGCAGAATTTATGTCCCTTTCTAGTTTACTTATTTAACACTTGGTATAATTGGACATATTTCCCAAAAAACTGGTTTTCAAAATTTTCTTCGCAGCTTACGCCCCCTAGCGGTTAATCCAGAATCTTGAAAGTTATTTCCAGCGATTTCTCTTGGCCACTTTTACTAAGGAATTTTTTTTCCTAAAGTTATAACATGAATAGTTTCTGATATACAGCCGAGAGATCGGCTTATTGGACCACCCGGTACAATAGAATTACCCCAGCATTGTGCCATTTGTCGGGTATATTACTGTCCAAAAGGCACATGTTAAAAAGGTTTTTTATTTTTTTAAGTAGACAAGTGCCTCCGATTTTGATTACATCAGTAACTACACAATATTCGCCTGGAGATTTGTTATTTTTAGCTTTCCTTAAGACTTGTTTACACGGGTAGAGTTGTGAGGAGAGTAGAATAGCTAGTAGAGTCGACTCTACTCGCTACTCTACCAAAAATGGCTTGATACCGTTCACACGAGGAGAGTTACAAGTATAGTACTGATGCTAGTATAGTGTGGAGTGGGTGTTTGTTTAGTGCAAAATGAATTCAAGAAAAAGAAAATTGATTCAAAATTGTTTAGCTACAGTTGCAAATGCATTTGTAACTGAAGTCGCTGAAGCTATCGATGATGAGGTAAACAAACAAAGAAAGGAGTGGATGAGAGAGTGGCTTAAAAGAAGGAATACACACGGGGCCTCAGCTCTTCTGTTAAGAGAACTAGCCTTAGAGGATGAGTTGGAATATAAGATGTGTCTAAGGATGACCCCAGGAAAATTCGAAGAACTTCTGAATATGGTGCATGACAAAATCGAACGACAAGACACGTTTATGAGGGATGCAATAAAACCAAGAGTGAAGCTTGAGATTACATTGAATTTTTTAGCTACAGGCAACAGCTATCGAAGCCTTTCTCATTTTTTTAGGGTTTCAAGACCTGCAATTTCAAAGTTGGTCCCCGAGGTGTGTGATGCCATCTCCGAAGTATTGGAGGAGTCAATAAAGGTAAGTTTCAATAACAGGGTGAATAAACAGGTACACGCATTACAAAAAATAGTTTTAATTGAAAATTCGTAAAATAACAAAATAGTACTTCAGATAAATGTTGAAAAAGGTACACCACAGAAACTTCGGTGAAGCAAGTCCCGTTTAAATATTAAACCTGTGTATAAGTCATTTGCATAGCACGTGTCAGAATATCTGAATCTTCAGGATTCACAGCTGCATCTTGTAGATGGATACTGTTACCATCTGGATACTGTTGCTGTTGAGTAACGAGTGACGAAGACGCCATTTGCTGAGCACTGCTACTCGTAGGACTGCCAAGTGGAGAATTGGTGTAAAATGACTGGTGGGAGTTGCATCCTGATGAAACGGAGTATGCAGGGGTGCTGTGA